CGCTGGTTTGCTCCGTGCTGCTGGCCAGACACAGCCCCATTGTGTGGGCTCCGCACCGAGTGCTCGCCCTGGCCTGGCTCCTGGGCCCCCCACAGGGGGGGAGTGTGTGGGTGGGTATGCTGGCAGCTGATGTGGGAGGCCTCCCTGAAGGACCCCCTCCAGGGCCCCCAGGGGATGGAGGGCTGTGCAGGCAGCATTGGCCCCAGGGCCGTGCTTGATGGACGTGCTGCTGGCCAGACACAGCCCCATTGTGTGGGCTCCGCACCGAGTGCTCGCCCTGGCCTGGCTCCTGGGCCCCCCACAGGGGGGGAGTGTGTGGGTGGGTATGCTGGCAGCTGATGTGGGAGGCCTCCCTGAAGGACCCCCTCCAGGGCCCCCAGGGGATGGAGGGCTGTGCAGGCAGCATTGGCCCCAGGGCCGTGCTTGATGGAGGGCGTGTTGGTCCCAAAGAGCAGCAGGGGTTCATCTGGCTGCACCGGCTGTGAGTGTGTGTGCGTGTGCGTGTGCGTGCACGTGTGTGTGAGTGTGCATACGTGTGAGTGTGCTCATGCATGCGTGTATGTGTGTGCATGCATGCATGAATGTGTGCGCGAGTGTGCACGCGTGTGAGCGTGTGTGCATGTGTGCGTACGTGTGGGTGTGCGTGCACGTGTGTGAGTGTGTGCGTGTGTGAGAGACAAATTGACAGACAGGCTGGGAGACCGTGACAGCATCCTGGTCACCCCACGGCTTGACATGGGAGCCGGGGTGTGGGCTGGTGCCAGAGCCCAGTGGGGACACAGACAGGGCCCCGGCCCGGGAGACAGCCCGGAGGGGACGCCGGGAGAGGCCTGGGGTCCAGCCTGCGTCCGTGCGAACCGAGGCCGCGCTGAGCTGCCTGCAGGACCGGCGAGCAGGCCCCCTGGGCTGAGAGCCGGGGAGCCAGGCCCAGGTGTGTGCAGCTGCTCCCGGGCAGAGCGGGCAGCCTCAGGCCAGGGTTGTGTGCCCCCCTGACGCCTGCGTGTCGGGGGAGGAGGGGACGCCCACCGTGGTGCGGTGTCGGAGCGGGAAGGCTGGCCACCAGGGAGCCATAACCACTTCACCGCCCGGGAGCCAGCAGGCCGCGGCGGGAGCGTGCCAGACGGCGCGGGCCTCCCGGCCACTGCGGTCTGGCTGCTGGGAAAGCGCCGGGTCGGCCCCTTGCAGGGAGCGGTGCGCGCCGACAGGATGGCGTGAGAGAGTAGACCCGCTGGGCTTTGGGCGGGGAGTCTGGCGGGGGAGCTCAGACCACAGCCCCGGGGACCAGAGCGCCCTGGTGGCCAGCGGGCTCCAGTCTCCTGTCCCGAGAGTGGGCGCCGTGGCAGCCCTGGGTGCACAGGCCTCGGGGAGGCCCAGGCAGCAGTGGGGTGGGGAGCCGGCCGCGGGCAGGAGGGCTGGCCCGGGCGACCACTTGGCCCAGTGCACGCGCCACCTCGCCAGGTGTGGGGCAAACACCCACAGGCCTGCAGAGGGGTGTTGGGGCAGAGGCGCAGGGAGGGGCTGGCCGTGTGGGGCAGCCGCCCAGGGGACCCGGGAGGGTGGGCTGCAGTGCATGTGCCGGGCAGCAGCCTTGGGGGGCAGAATCGGGGCCTGGGGGTGCTGTGAGCCTGCAGAGTTTGGGGGTTCAGCTCATCAGCAGGGGCTGGGCACGGAGGAGGTGGTCTAGGCCCCGCCCCTCAGCTGAGCTGTTCTCGGGGCGATGGTGGCATCGGACAGAGTCCTCAGGGCAGGGAGGGGCGTGCCCGGCTGGACCCTTGGGAGCAGGGTCTGGTGTGGGCGGGTGCCTAGGGCCTGGTCCCCCCGTGGCAGGCACTGCCCAGAAGGAGTCTGC